CTCAGATCTTCTCTAGTAATAACTTTACTAGCAAAATGCATAAGCTCCAGTCTCACCTTTTGTTTGTTTTAATTTTACTCTGTTTAAACAGCCAACTCGACTTAATGTCATTAGAAACGACAATGATAGTTGGGACTACACTAAACCGTATCTTGGCAGAAGAGGTAGGTTTTCATATATTATAGCTGTAAGTGGTTAACTGCGTTAAATACTGTGCTGTATACATGGTTAGGTTGTTTAATGCAATAGTCCTTTCAAACAAGCCATTGCTGGTGAAGGCTGTGTTGCAGAGGCCAACCTGTAATCCAGGAAATAACACTGAACATTAGTGCCCCCTACTGGTGTATATCTGAGCTATTTAGTTCAACAAGGAGCCCACACATGCAAGCACGTTTGCAATTCAAGGACTTGCATTTCTCCAAGCAGCTCTCTCTCTTTGGAGGGGAGGAAACTGATACAGACTATTCCTTACAAACTACAAACTTGCACACTGCTTCTCTTTGGAAAGGACTTTTTCCTTTATGTTGGACAAGGCATTAAGAAGGATAGAGGACTTCAGCAGGCTGACTCTACACTTCATCATGCACCACATCGGCATCAGCAAAAGCCCTCTGAAAATCTCAGACTTGCAACTCACTTTGTCTGCATACTGCATGCATCACCACCACAAGTTTTTAAAGGAGGACACTTACAGTACTTCAGATTTGCATGGGATGAATAAATACCATGATAGACTGTACCCATTTCTGTTCAAGTGTGTATGTATACTGATCTTAACCCTAGAATTACAACTGCAGAATTTAAGAACCTCCATAAAATGGAAAAATCCCAACTCCTGTTGATCTCATCTACAATGTTGTAATCTTCTTATGACTTGTTGTATTTAAAAGAACAGCACATTCAGTCTCTACAGTGTAAATATTGTCTCAAGTAAGTAAACTGGAGGAATAACATGTATAGAAAATTGGGATTGATCAATACGCTATCAAATAAGACCCCTCAGCTATATTTAAATATTTGGAATAGGGAGTTGCACACTTGGTGCACATGTAACTTGTCTCTTGGATTCTTGCATGTGAAAATTAGTCAGAGCATAAGTCTTACAAGTGAAAATTATACCTAAAATGTAAAAGACAAACTGCTGTGTAGCCTGACTTCTGTAAAGTGTTTCAATTTTTTTTGTAACTGTTCAGTGACTTGTGTTTAATATTTTTTCTATATAATGTAATTTTAGAAATTAGATATGTGTAACATGGAGGTAGAAACTTAGCATGTCCAATTTAAGGTAGAGTATCTTCAGAGTCTTATATGAAGGTGAGGGTTTTGACTTCATTCTGAGATATGCTTCAAAGTTAACTTTAGAAATTCTGAGTTTGTAAAATTGTTGTATAATTGAAAACACAGGTTTTGGATTTTCAGAATTAAGTTCTTGTAAAAGGTTAACAAGGGAGCTACAGCACTGGTTGGCAGCTGGTAGAATCTCACTATTTGAATCAAAATTCAAAAATTTATTCAATTTCCTGGCTGCTTAATGCAAATAAAATTGAAGTTGTCAGTAACTTAAAAGCATTGAATCTGAAAGGGGCATGGGGAGGACCAACAAAACTAATTGCACTATTGGTTTCTTAACCATTACAAATTTTACCTACTTAAAGCAATATGAAAACTTTCATGTGAAGTGATTTGGCTTACAAAAAATAGAGGTTCAGAGACTACACGTTTCTCATTTCTCACTCTCCTTTACTAGGGAAACATTTCACATGTTAAGGTTGCTTTATTTTACCCCAAAATTCACTGATCTGCTGTTTGCTTGTTTTTCTTTGAGCTCAGTTGCTGGAACCTGTTTCTCTCATTTTTGTAATTATTACATCACTTCATACCAGATATATACTTTTCAGCTAGCCTTGTAATGATGGTGTTATGCCTGTGTTGCACACTATCTTTGATGAAAAAACAGTGAATAGTTGAGTTATACCTCCCAGAAATAGTTTTTATCCAGTGAAGCATACACAAAGCATTTACTGTGCACAAATGAAACTGAGCTCTGATCCAAGTACTTGCTTTTCACATTTTATATAAGCCTGCCCGTGGCTTAACATGCATCCTTCATGGAGTACAAAAGAAATGCATTTTTTCAGTTAATTCTCAGGAGCTTAAATATTTCCAGGCCTCCATAGTTACAAACTGTGTGCACATGTATGCTCTCACTGTCTCTCCTCTCCCAAAAGCATTCCTCAACCTACACAGGCTTTCTAAGGAATGTGTGCAGTTATGAGGGAAATGTATTTATAGGTAGCATGTAAACTGTCTTTTTTGGTTGTGGAAATACGTTGGCTTCCTCTGGTTACCAAAGGACTGTACCCTTTCATGTGCCATTTGCTTTGAGACAAGGTTCTCAAGATATTTCTTAGAGCTGTCTAACAGCTGGCCACTCCATCTTCACAGGTTCAAGAAAATAGATAAAATAGATCCACAGGATAGAATTTTAAACCCAGCTTTCTGGAAGAACGATGAAAGTGACTTAATTTCTTATCTGTATACTTTATACTATGTAATAAATAGTTAAAATGAGTAGTGAGGAAGCTTTGGACTGCTAGTGAATGGTAGGGGTTTTGTTGTTATTGGGTTTTTTGAGGTTGGTTTGTTTGTTTTAAAAGTAAAATCCCCAAGAGGCAGAACTAACATAATTTGGGCAATTTTACTTCATATGAAATAAGAAAAGTAGTCTTGTCTCTCTGAATCCAAGTGTTCTAGGAGCACTGCTGTCTGCCTTAGGCTCTTTGCAGCATAATCATCTAGCCTCAAAGCTATCCTCAACATTTTTGGCAGAAAGATGCATCCATTTCTCATTTCCCACTGATTACTGTCGCAGAGGGTTAAGCTCAGGAGTTCAAACTGCTTGGGAAAAACTTCTCGGGCATTGGGGTAGAGATCAGTCATGTTTAAGTATTTGTACTAATTATAACAAACTGATCAATATTTTATCACACTTTTAGAATGTGGTGCATCAAGGACTAATTTACTAACCAAAATGGGTGAGAAATGTTCTACTCTCACTTACCAAGAAAACTTGAAAGTTCATATTTTTTTTCTGGGAATGCTAAGAAAATTAAGTAGAACTCTACCTTTTGGAAACAGCGCACTGCTTTCATCCAGTCATGTTGATCCCTTGGTTAACTTTACACGATCTAAAACAGGGTTTTCTCAAAGGATTGTCCGTTATTGAAGATTTTATTCAGTAACATTGCATTGTAATTGAAAATAATGTCATACATCATGAATAATGCAGTAATGTACAGTCCTTTCAGCATTCCCATAAATCAATAGGTGTTCATGTAAATATATGTACACAAATGTAATGCTCTCTGTTTACTGATTGTGAAACCATGTAATACAGGTTGTTGTTGGCTTATGCTGAAACTTCTTGAAAGAAGCCCACTTTGAAAATGTGTTGCTGTTGAAGCTAATAGTATGATTCAGGTACTGTCTTTCACAAGTACTGCTTTTAAAACTTGTTTTAAGACATGCATAGGTAAATCCTACTCTCTGGTGCTATCTGTAATATTATGTGATGTCAATTGCAGAACATTATCAAGTATTCCTGTAGATTTAAATTGTCTGCACATTCTCTCTTGCCAAAAATCTCAACATTAAGTGAATTTTGTTATTCAAATGACAACCTCTTAACTTCATTCTATGATTTACATCTGGCCTTAAAAACTGATTTTTTTTAAAGTTAACCAGATATCAAGTTATATTTTCACTTTTTAGATGAAATTATAAATATCCTGATTTGAGAATTCAGGTGTGCACTTGGTAAAACTACTTTTTTCCACTCCCATATCTTAGACAGAGGGAAGGGCCGCCAGAGGCAAGCTATTTTGGGAGAACATCCTTCATCATTTAGACATGATGGCTATGGTAAGTAACAGAATGACAAGTGGTCTGTGGCTTTTTACTTTTTTTTTTTATATGGTGGAGTTACAGTTTTTTCTAGGTTACATAGAAAAGCATTGGGAACACATAATGGTAGACAGCTTCTGTAGTTTAGTGTAGTGCTACACTTGCTACTCTCAGTCCGTGAGTTAAAGATATTCATGATGTTATGAAACCTGTGGGGGTCTATAACACTAATAACATTTTTCTTTAAATTATACAGTCTTATCCCACTGGTTCAGTTACTGCTTTAGATGGTATCATCTGTAAACTGTCATCACCCTAGGCAATGACTAGAGGATATGTATCTATACCAGAAAGGTTCCTTTCTTCTTAACAGTGCAGCTCAGCATGAAAAAAAACTTGGCAATATGTAGAGTATTTGTTACACTGATTGGTTTCAGAAAACTATTGAACTTCTGTATTTAATGCAGCTAGTTATTTCACTTTTCCCTTGTAATATCCCTGGTGCTCTTCTTCCTAATGTGTCTGAGTTTGGCAATATGTTACTATGTAGGCGAGACACTTTGGAATTATTGCAATGACCCGAGTCTGTTTGTGCAAATACTCTTCTGTAATTTTGAGATGTATAGTCTGTATGAAATGCAGAGAGGTTTAGGGGCTGAGATTTTAATGCGACTTCCTATATTTCTTTTATAAAAGCTTAATTTGCATATATGTATTAGTCATTTTGACCTTCAAAAACCAATGTTTGTTGGTTACTGCTTCTTTTGCCAGAGAAAGTATAAGTAAAAAGTTGACGAACATGGTATAACTTTATTTTCTGCCAGAGGCAAAAGTTCTTGTGGGTGATTTATCTTTTTAGTGGGCCAGTGCATGGTTGGGGTAGACTTAGACAAGCTTTTGGGTATCACATCACCATTCTTCAGGTCTACCAGAGGGTTTATTTTCTCTTGGAGGCCTTCAGGCCTCGAGAATCCAAAATATTTCAGTTTGCTCTTAACCATGTGTCCCTTTTTTCCTCTAACGTCTCATCAAACTCCAGCTGAGTTTCTTTTTCCCCCTTGCAATGGAAGCTGTTTTTCATGGGTAGCACTATAGGTCTCCTTTTTCTTCCTCCTTCTTGTTACTTTTCTTGATGAGCCTGCAACAGGACTGTTTATGAGAGTGGCTGTGGCCCTCCCCTGCTGGCAAAACGTCTCCTGTCCCATTCTGGCTTCTCCTGTCCCTTTTCTGCCTCACCTGCCATGCCTTGAGGCATTGTAGGCTGCCTCAGGGTCCTAGAGTGAGCTTCAGTTTACCTCAGCTTGCTCTTTAACAAGATCTGTAGTACTCCTTGATCCTGTTTCACAGTCAGGGTGGCTAGGATCTGGAACCAACTTCCAAGGGAAGTGGTGCTGGCTCTTAACTTGGGGGTCTTTAAGAGGAGGCTTGACAATTACTTAGCTGGGGTTATATGAGCCCAGTATTCTCTCCTGCCCATGGCAGGGGATCGGACTTGATCATCTACTTAGGTCCCTTCCAACCGTACATGTATGAATCTATGCTGACACCGCTCTTGCGTTCAGGCACTGAATTATGGCCTTCCTAGCCCTATACATGCCTTAGGGCAGTGTTTCTCAACCTGTGAGTCATGAACCAAAAGTTGGTTGCAAGAATATACGAAAGGGTCATGAACAAACTTTAAAAATGGCTCTTTAAAGGAGAAAAATGTGGGAAACCATGGCTTTTCCCTTGCAGGCTGCCAGAGTTCCAGTCTGCTAGTGGCTACTTGGAGCCCTCCATGCCCCACACACCCATCCCCTGCCCCTATGCATTTGGGGGCTGGGCCCTGGGGGTAGGGAGCAGTGGGTCAGGAGTGAGGGGCACAGGGTTGGGACTGGACATTGATGTTTACAAGTGGGTCCTGGCACAAAAAAGGTCAAGAACCACTTAGAGCACAAGTTTATTTTAGGGGCAACAGTTGTGGCCTCCAGCCACCCCCATAGCCATGTCCATGCCTCACAGAGTTGTAACTTGAATTCCTTTCGTGGGGTCTCCTTGGCCTTGTCTCCTTTTATACTGGGCCCTCTGACCCTGTCTTCTTGTGCTCTGAGCCCCTAGCCTTGTACTCAGTTCAGCCCCATGAGTCCATAACTCTTGCAGAGTTACTGTCTGCAGGCTCTAGCTACTCTGCTTTAGCCCTAGGCAGCTCTGTGCAGCCCACCCCATCCTAGACCCATGCAGGACTCTCTCTTGACCTTAACCTCCTGTACCATAGGGTGCTGCACAGGCACCCCACCTGTGGCCTCCACCACACCCAAACTTTCAGTCAGAATGGATATAGAAACATAAGCAAACTGATTCCAACTGAAACCTACACTGTACTCTTGGGCACTGTCCCACAACAATTTATACTCCCCTCTTAGTTGTCTGCTTCCAGCTGTCTGCTTCCAGCTCTCTGGTGCTTTGGATGCCTCTGGGTCTGTTTCTGATAGCATTACTCCCCAGGGGCTTCTCTCCTGCCCACTCTGATTTAGGAGCTCAGCTTATCTCCTGGGGCTCTGCCCCTTTTGTCAGGTGTTCCTGATCAATCTGAGATATGACCCATCTACTCGATGAGTAGTCTCTTCTCCTCTGCCACATTTGGCTTAGGACTGAAGCTTAGCTTCCTACCTGTCTGGAGCTTTACCCTGTTTGCCTGTTGCCAGGCAGCAGTCCCAAGTAGCTATAGGCAGTCCTGTACCCCCTGTCTGGGCTTTCTCCTGGCAGCTTACTTCCTAGTAGGTAGCTTTGCTTCAGATGTCCCCTGATAACAGCCCTACTGTGCTGTCCTTTCTCCCTCCAAGTAAGGGCCCCTAAGTCTAGGTCTGTGGTGCTCAATCTGACGTGCAGGCCAGATCCAGCCTGCAGAGTTGTGTTTATCCAGCATGTGGGTCTCCACATATATCTGGAAATCTAGCAGTTGGTGTGCAGTGTCAGCACTGCTTGGCACTCATCTGCTGCTAAATTTCTGGACCTGTGGGGAGCCCCATGGGCTGGATGACATGGCCCTGCACACTAGATTGCACTGCCATGGGTTCATGCTGGCACACCTGGTTGCACCCGTGGACCGACCCCTATATTGCGTATCTGTCCCTTGGGGCCAGAATGTCGAGCACCACTGATCAACATTATTCTTGGCCTCATGAGAATGGAGGATCCTCCCCATAGCATTTTGGGAAATACCGGGTGTGTTTTGTTTTTTTTTAAAGCTCTAGCTAGATAAATGAATGACTATTGACTGAAGTGTTTTTAACAACTCTTGTGAAAGCATTTATTTGGCTCAGCACTTGCTGAGCAACTAAACTGTGACTTATGAAGTTTAACCCTTGTGACAGCTGTCACTTTGCTTCCTGATAAATGTCACTTTTACTGGCAGTGGAAAATGAGGTCACCTGGAGCTGTGTATTAATGTTGACCCTTGAACACATGTATTCTTGAGTTAGCTCATAGAAAGCTGCCCTCCTTTACCAGTCTTCTACAGCCCCTCAAACAAAACTGCACTACCCCTAGACTATTAAACTCCCTTCTAGAGTTTGACTTTGTTTTTTCCGTTATGGCAGGGGTGGGCAAAATAAAGCCTGTGGGCCAGATCTGGCCCACCAGTTGATTTGTATCTGCCCCATGGTGCTCCACATGGGGTGAGCCCTGCCTGGGACAGCTTGTGCTGTGTTCCCACCTGCATCTGCCCCATGCCTGCTGATGGCAGTGCCCCAGCCCTGGCCAGCAGGTGCAGCTTCCCAGTGGGGCTGCCTTTCACTCACAGGTGGCTGCACATCATGGTGGGTGGGTAGAAGGGACCTGGAGCTGGAGCCCTGTGTGCTGGTGCAGGGGCTCCCTGGCTGCAGCTTCCCTCTCACTTGGCTGGCTGTGTGGTGCCCAGCACGCACCCCCACTGGAGTGGTGCAGCAGGGGGAGGAGGAGGAGCCATGAAAGACCATGGGGAGCTGAGCAGTACCCAGCTTGCAGCCCTGCTGGGAAGCTGTGCGTCCTGGCCAGGGCCATGTAGGCAGGAGCATGGTGCAGGCTGCCCCAGGTGGAAGTGGGTGGGGTTTGGCCCCATGCAGAGTACTGCGGGGGCAGCCATGGGCCAGATTTCGGGGAGTGGGGGAGGACACACACAACACCACACCCACACCATCTGGGTGAGCTCTGCTGCACACACCTTCTGTCCCTACCCCTGGCTGGCTCCCAGGATCTAGCATGCAGTCAGGCCTGCAGCACGCCTCTTCCCCCCCCCCGCGCAAATTCACCCCTCCAACACACCCACTCCTCAGCCAGCACTCAGTGGTGGGGGCACTGGTGGTCCTGCCTGCTCTGCCTGCCCATCACCTAAGCGGGAAGTGTGGCCTATCAGGGGGTGCACGTTGCCACTGGGGCAGAGGCTGCAGACAAATTTGAAGGCCACAAAGGACTAGACCTGAGCCTGAGTTCACGGTTGAAAAGAGCTATTGCCTGTGTAAATCTATATCTTTAACATATGTGTAGATAGATAGATAGATAGATAGATGTAAGTTCATTGTTATAAGTTTTATATTATGC